CAGAAGGATGTCTGTTTCTGAATTTGCAGCAGCTCATTCATACTGAAGTGATGCACTATGGGAATTACTACCAAACTCTGCTCAGCAACATCTGCTCTCCCTAAGTGAGTTAGTGCACGTCAGACATCTTTATGTCAGAATATTGCAGTGATGGATGCAGTCTTCAGAAAATGCTGCATAAAAATCTGGTGTGCCGTTCTGGCCATTAAGTGAAATTACTATTTAAATTAATGGCGCTGTCACAGTTTATCTGTGCAAAGAATGAACGCTGATTAGGGTATTAAGTAATTAGCAATTTATCACGCTGGAACAAGGTTGATAATAATTAAAGAAGTAATGGTTTACCAAAGAAACTAGAAAGGGAGTCACTTCTTGTTATATGAGTGAAATCTTGGCTAAAAATATTATTCAGTCAAACAAAGATGAGATTCTTAGTGATAGAATGTAGCTTTCTCTTTCTGTCCTAGCATAAAAGCAATTCATTAGCAAAAGTTTACTTTGCCTGTCCAAAGAGCATCTAAACTAAATTGCTCTCACTTGTTATTGAAGAAGAAATCACTGTATGATGTAATCACATATTTTGGAGGAAGATAGAAAAGGAACAATAATTGTATTATTTTATTCTTTTTAAGATTGTAAGCTTTCCAGAGTTACCTCATGGTGAGCTGAGTAGCAAACACATTTAATAAATACATGAAATAAACTCTAACTGACTTATAAATGCTATACCTCTTATACTGCTCAGGACTGCAGTCCTCATGTGAACCAGTGCTAGGCACATAAATATAGTAGACCTGTTTTATGGACTCTGAATCAGCTACTGATATTTTTCCTGGTGCAATATCAGGTGTTACTTTTAATCTATAAAGCCCCATACAGCTTGGTGCCAAGGTACATGTATCTTCAGGACTACCTCTTTCAAGTGGAAACCAATCCTGTCTTTTACAAATAACCTGGGAAAAATAATACCATAAAACCAGGAGGTGAAAGTGGACGTTCTTTTCTATTGTGGCTGCATGTTTTGGAACAGTCTTTCGCTAACCTCATTGGCCTTCTGGAATTTATATTTATTTTATATAGATGCATTTGTATTTAAGTTTTTCCATCTCTATATATAGTTAAATCGTAGCCATCTTCTTTCCACATTCCACCCTTTCCGTTCATCAAATCCATAAACCACAACTTCATTTTTTCTATTTTCAACAAAAGGTCCATAAAAGTTTCCAGCCACTGACAAATGTAGTTCTTGTTTTTTCCCTAATCAAGCAAGCCAATTTTGTCATCTCTGCAAATTCATTTTCACAACCATTCCTCCACTGTGGCTAATTCCAAGTTTTTCCATCTTTGTGCATATAATAATCTTCTTCCAGTGATCATGAACAAAGTATCTTCTATAGATCTTTGGCAGTTGCCTATCCATTAGTCATAAAAATGTGATTTCAATTGAATATTAATATTTAAAATACTTTGTTGTCACTGTAAGACAGTTTGGTCAAGTGGTTAAGACACCAGGCTTAAAACTGGGAGACCATGAATTCTAGTCCTGCCTCAGCCAGCTGGATAACAGTTCAGTCACTGTCTCTCAGCCCAACTCACCTGTCAGGGTTATTTTTGTGAGTATAATAAGAGGAAGAAGATGTGTTGGGTATGTTTGCCCTCTTGAGTTTTTTATAAAAAATAATAAAGGCAGGATACCAATAAATAAATAAAAATCTCCCACAGTCCTTTGTTGATAGTAGAAATAAAATGAGTTTAAATAAAAGACATTCAGAGAATAAAATTGTCTACTGCTGTACAAGTAGAATGGAAACATTAATGGGAATCATTTCATTCACATATTACTCCCTCAGGTTTAATAATATGGATTTCTTACAAAGTAATCAATGTTGGATAGTATATAAGATTAAACTGTCTTGTTTGAAAAGTTTGGCTCCACTATGATATGATATCATTTATATGCATTTGAATTTAACTAATCCCATGAATAAAATAACTTCATTGATTACATGGCTAAGTTAATCATTAGGTTTATTATATCACATAATGTCTCCTCTGCTAAGATGGATCTTTATAATCTAATTTTTTAAAAGGAAACTCTTGCTGAAAGAAATCCTGATTGAATGTTTGACTGTATAATAAATACAAATAGATACATTCAGAGATCTTGTTCAGAATATCTCTTTAAAAAATGTTTGCACTTTCTATTTTTGACCTGGACCTATTCCCAAGATTCCTTCCTTTATAAATACTGGCATGCTTACCAGCATAACATGTCAAAGGAGCATGGAGGTTTTATCATACTGAAGAATTATTATGGACAACAAAAAACAACTCCACTGTTCAACCATTTGAACACTGCAACTATAGGCAGAAAGCAATTGTATAAAGGAATGTGGCTTATGAGAGAATGAAGATGTCTTTCAGAAGCATAAATAGAAAAATTAAATGTCCTCCTTTCCACAATAAGAAAGTAACGAAGAATAATTTTAATTTAAAAAATAACTGGGCAAGTTTCCCTCTCTCACTATCATTCTTGCTGGCATGGTAATCTTATCAAACCTATCTGATAATAGAGGTTCTATTACACAATTGCTTATTTTTTGATGCCAATTCATATGGATTTTATTATAAATGATTTTTAAAAAGTTCATGGAGGAGCAGCCATAATTAGAAGTGAATCCTAAGAGCTATTTGGAAAAAGTACAAAGAAGAGCAACCAAGGTGATTAAAGGCCTGGAGACTAAAACATACAAAGAACAGTTGCAGGATTTGGGTTTTGCTAGTCTAGAGAAAAGAAAGACTGGGGGGACATGATAGCAGTATTCCATATTTGAGAGGCTGCCACAAAGAGGAGGGCGTCAATTTATTTTTCCCAAAGCACCAGAGAGCAAAAAGAAACAAAGAGTGGAAACTAATTAAGGAGAGAAGCAACCTGGAATTGAGGAGAAACATCTTAACAGTGAGGACAATTAACCAGTGGAACAGCTTGCCTTCAGTTATTGTAGGGGCTTCATTATTGGAGGTTTTTAAGAAGAAAATGGACAGTCAGTTGTCTGAAATGGTACAGGATCTCCTGCTTGTGCAGGGGCTGGACTAGAAGATCTCCAAGGTCCCTTCCAGCTCTATTTTGATTCTGATTCAATTGTAAATTGATACTACAACTATCTCAGGAAGACAGGTGACATAATTCCAAGGAGCCTATAAAAACCCTGATTGCTTTCTGGCATAATCCTTGTTTGTTTCACTGGTTCTTCATATTAAAAAAGAGTGCAAACAATATTGGTACAAATGCTACCTTTTTTCAAACAGAGGTTTAAGACTGAGAGGCTGCCTTATTCCAAGTAAAGCTAATTCAGTCTGATTTATTTGGATTAGAAAAACTATTTAGGCCAGACAAAACGTAACTGTGGTTATCTGATGTTTACTTTGTTTGTTAATGGAGATACTCAAGACAGAACTTCAAAACTTCTGTATGGATTGAAGAGCTGAACTTTGGTCTGCCCAATTAGATGTCTTGATCTTAGTTATTCTCCTTCCAGATTGCCTTTTTATCTTTAGGAGGTTATAGCTCTCCTAAAATTAGATTGTGTACATACTGAATCACAATATTATCAAGGACTACTGACAGATTGAATGGATTAATCAGATTTAGTTTCCAAAGTGTCCATACCCTTAAATCCAAGCCTGTTATTCTACACACTTGGACCAGAGGTGGTATTCAGCAGGTTCTGACCAGTTCTGGAGAACCGGTAGCAGAAATGTTGAGTAGTTTGAATCCTACCTCTGACTGGCCCTGCCCCCATCTATTCTCTGCCTCCCGAGTCCCAGCTGATCAGCTGGGTCTTCTTTGGTTGCCCTGCACAGGAGAACGAAGCTGGAAAACAGGTTAGTGGGGTGGGGAGGGAATGGGGATTTTACAGTATCCTTCCCCTGCCATGCCTACCAAGCCACGCCCACAGAACCGGTAGTAAAAAAAAATTGAATCCCACCACTGACTTGGACACTTTGGAAAACATAATATTTCTTCTGAACAATTGTGTACTTTTCAGGCACTGTATAATGTTGTGATAAATGCTTAATATCATTGAAAATATAGTTTGTGAACATGACCTATTTTTGTATCTATTTTATTCTTGTAACACAGGAGTTGGCTTCCACAAAAAATAATCTAAGAATAGGCCACCAATACAACTTAAATTGTGTTTCATATCTTCATTTATATATTTTTGGATCCCATTTTTAATCTCTGGCAACTGTTACAGCATGACAGCTATAACAAAGCAGTGCTTTAACAAATATGCATTAATTACAGTATTGTAAAATATTGTGGCTTGAATACAATAGTATCCATTCAGAGGTGGAAAGCAGTGGAACTGGTGGAAACTTGCCTCCCAGTGCATCTTCCAGATCCCTTTTGCAATGTTGAAGGACCACTTGGAGATGAGAAAGAAGAGATACCACAATTTTTGAAAGAAAATAGCAAAATTCTAACACTTTTTCTTGAGGAGAAATATTTTGGAGAAGAAACTAAATTAGACTAGAATTCTGAAATACTAATGTATAGACATTAAGGAAATCTGTCTTTTCCTAATAACCAAATCTATTTTGCATTTTATATGACTTTAGAAAATCTGTCTTTCACTGATTCATTTGTTGACAAAACTGGTGGGTTGTTTTGTTTGTTGATAAGCAACCTAACTTTTTTAATTAAAAAAAATTAAGTGAATATGGAATGTGGAACATATGAACTGCAAATAGTTACTCTCTGCAACCTATGCTTAAAAAGGAAATTGTCTTGTGCCAGTTCTTCAAGATTAGTTACTAAAGAAAGGTCTAGCAGACATGTTAAACTCAACATTTAAGTACTACTTTAGATGCCTTTCCTCAGTTTCAATAGCTACATAATGCTGGTGCTTTTATGATGAATTTTACAGCATTCTAGGAATTTCCTTCACTTTCTCCTCTTCTTGCCTTCATGTATAATATTTTTTTTGTTTCAGGAATGTTCTGTTGTAGACATGAATATGTGAATATGTCAAGTATAGTATGCTGCTCAGCTTTCAGTGGTGAAACTAAAGCCCACATTAAAAAGAATAACTCAGTGCCATTAAAATGCTGTGTGACTGAACTTATTCCAGAGAGCGAAGAATGTTGTAATGGACTTGGATATAATCCCTTGAAATATGTTTGCGCTGACAGGATTTCATCTAGAATGATGATGAAGGTAATTGATAGAAAACCTCTTGGTGATTCTGATTTGACAATGGGAAGAGAAATACATTGTTCATAACTATTTTTGTAAAATAGGAATATAAAAACTCCTCTGTGCATTATTCATTTTCGCATTACATCCATATTAATACCAAATGAGTTTGCCATGATTGATGTTATTACAGTGAATTCTAAAGGAATTAATAATGATTAGCTGCTTCTTGTAAAGTATTGTTCAGCACTTCAGATTAGTATAAAGGCTAAAAGTGAACATTTTGGCCTGGCTGGAAAATGTGCATATGTGTGTGTGTATATAAATATATATTAATGTTCAATTGCTTATTTGGTTGTTTCCATATAGCCTGTAATTTGGGCATTCTTAAAGTTTATGTTGGGTTTGCATGGGCAATAAGCATATATATGAAGGGGTGGGGATGCCAAAATTTATCATTTTAACATTATGGCCATATGAGCAGTAAGTAAGAAGAAATATTAAGCAGTCCAAACTATCAAATGCTAAAACAAAAATATTTATTAAAATAAAATATCTGTAAAGGCAAAGCAAAGGTTTCCCTTGTCCAGTCATGTCCAATTCTAGGGGCTGGTATTCATCTGTTTCCTAGCCAAGGGAGACAGCATTGTATGAAGACACTTCCGTCGTCATCTGGCCAGCAGGACTATACGCTGAAGTGTACAGAACACCGTTATATTCCCAACAAAGATACCTATTTATCTACTTGCATTTGCATGCTTTCAAACTGTTAGATGGGCAGAACCTGGGGCAAATAACAGGAGCTCACCCCATCAGGCAGCACTTGCATCTTAAACCCAGTCTTTCAGCTTTCCAGCTGATAAGCTCAGCTTCTTCACCCACTCTTCTATGAAATACATATTAAAAATCAGCAAGTCAGTGAAGTGTAATGAAGTTAGGAATTTTCAGAAGGCTTCAATAAGATCCAATAAACTATTGGGGCTAAACATTTGATACATTAAGATAAGTGCCAGGCAGAACTCTCTAAGGAAGAAATTCCAAACCTGGAAAGCGACTCTTAAAGCCACAATCTGTAAGTACACACCTAGTGGGAGAAAAGCATTTGGGAGTTTTTCTCTTTGCTTCCTGTCTCAAAAATGGTAAATACTAATTAAAACGTAAAAGCAGCAGGATTTTAAAAGTGAGTCTTTAAAAAAAATATGAGTAAACTAAAAAAAATGATACAACTAAAATATAAGGTGAGATTTTGATATTTCATGAAAGGTACCATTTTAAGAGCTTGGAAATGTATATCAGAAAATACTTTGTGTATGTCTATTTAAGTTGTTTTTAAAGGTCTTCAAAAGTTTGGGAACTATTGTTATAGATAAAAGAAGAATCGAAATGCATCCCACTGTGTCCTAGATCTACTGAAGAAGTGACATACTGTGGACAGTGTAACTTTGATGAGCATACTTATTTATGTGCTTGCATAAAGAGTTCCCGTAGTTATACAAAAAATAAAGACAATAAAAGGATCTGCCCATCTTTGGAGGAAAAGATTTATACAGGAGGCCCAACTCAGTATTCATTCAAAGGTAAAATAATATGTGATGACTCATTAACTAAAGGTTGTAAATTCTGAAAGTGAAATATCAGTGAAGGATCATGTTTGGAAATTGTTTTGAAGTGAATAAAATCTTTTTATCAGTATACTGATAGATATTAATTCAATGCTGATTACAATTGGAATAAATATATATTGTAAATGTAGGAGCCTAATTAAATCAAACTAAGAGTTCATCAAACCAAGGGATCACTAAAAAGCCATCTCTCCTATCTTCATAATGAGCACAGATTTCTAAAACAGAAGGTCAGTTACACCCATCATAATTTATAAGTGATTATTAAAATTACATAAAGTTTTTGAAAGAATGCTTTGCAATGAACATGAGTTCATATATTATTCATCTCTTTGAATCATTAAAGCAGCTGCTTCTTTTTCTAAACTCAAATGTCTGAAAATATGTATATTCTTGGTTTGCGTGCTATCTCCACAATTGGAAATCCATCAGAGTTAGTGATGCAAATTCATCCCTTAACTATGGGTGCTTTGAGATGAATTGCTCCAAATCTCACATCCTCTTGTGAGATTAGATGTTTTAGATGCTGCAGTTAATCTATTTAAATTGCCATGATTATTGCTTCAATTACTTCCAAATGAGGCCCTGTTGCATTGGTAGCTTCTTCTCATTTCCCAATTTCATGCTCTAAACTTTCATCCCAAAGCCATCCACTAAAAGCATAAGTTTCACTAAATAATTTCATGTTCTACTATTTTTACAAGAAAAGAAGAAAAAAATCATTTTTTTTATTCCATGTATGTGTAATGAAGTTTTGATTTATGCACAATTCTTCTAAAGTGCAAAGCTTATGGAATGAAAAGATGGATTCACAAATCTGAAACTGAACCAGATTGAGTTAGATATATCTAAATAGAAACCCAGTATACTTAGCATATAGATTGACAATAAACTCTTGTTAAATATTTTCCTTGTAGATAAGAATCTAGAACCTCATATTACATATGAATACAGGCTAGCTGTGTGGAACAAACATGGGAAAGGTTTTAGTGAAATGAACAATGCAACCACTAACCAAGATGTCCCTGAAGGTGTAAATCCACCTCATTGGACAAAAGTGGATAATCGTGAAGATGTAATATTTTTAACATGGAAGGAACCTTGTCAACCAAATGGTATGGTATTTTGTCAAACTACAATGTCTGATTTAGCATTTAGCCAGCGCAAGGTATTTTGGGAACAAAAACATTTACAGTAAAATAATATTATGCTTAAATATATATCCCTAATATTTTATGTATCATCAAAGAATTTGTGTGTGTGTATGTGTGTGTGTGTATGTGTATATACACACACACACAAATATAAATATGTCTATATAAAAACATGCTCATAAACACACATATGTGTGTATGTGCTTGTATATGTGTATCTATAGACATAATCTATATATGGAATGTATGCACATGCACACACATGCACACACACTTTTGCTTCAAATTCAAAAAGTGTTTGGATGCACAGGAGTGTGAACACAGCATAAGCCTTTAAAGCAGCTGTTCCTTTTCTTGGGGTAGCCATATATTTCCCAAAAAAGATGAAGTTCCTTTCAAACTCTACTGACAAATGCTATAGGTTCCCTCCTCTGCATGCTCTAAAGCACTTTTCTAAAGTATTTTTAACTTCAGTTGCACTTCTGAAGTGTGAGTGTATGTGGTCTTGTTTATTCATTCATACTGGTGAAGAATAACAACTTTAATTACTGGAATTAGTTTCAGATCTTCATTTTCACCAGAAAAAAAAAGTGCAATATATTTGATAAATGTAGTCCTACTTTTTTATTCACTTTATCATAATGGAATCATGTTCATGATATTCCCTAACCCACAACTTTTACAGGGTCTCATTTGAATGCAAAGTTACATTATGGTGAATGTTGTATGAACAAATCCTAGGCTGTTGTGCTTTCTCTCTTTTGTTTTTCATAGATGAAAGGAAGAATTTAAAGTTGATGCTCCTGTTTTTATTGAAGTGGAGATGAAGGCTATCTTCCTATAATATACTGTGAATAATATCACAAAAATCTATGAGGTTTATAAGAAATTGTTGAAACTTGTTTTTTTTTTCCAATAAAAATCACTGCTTCTGACCACTCTATATTAAGATATAACTTTAAAAATTAATTAATTAAAATTGGAAAGGAAAGGTCCAAACATCCCAGAAGAAGACAATGGCAAACCACGTCTATGTTACTGCCAAGAAAATTGCATAGATATGTCCACAAAGTAACTAGGAGTCAAACTTAATTGGAGAAAGAAGAAGATGGAATAGTGTAAGCAGAACATACAGACCTAAAATTCAATCAGGAATTGCAATGATATATCCAAACAAGACAAAAAAAGTCATCCAATGTATTATTTATAGTTGGTATCATGTTATGGTTCAAGCATATCTTTTTCTTATAGAATCATAATACTTTAGAACTTTAGTATATAATTATCTGGCATACATTCAATTCAAACAAGTGTTTAATTTCCTTCTTTATTAATAAGGTATCATCATTTATTATATTATTCTCCGAAATGGAGTTGAACATTTCAGAGGAAAGGAACTGAGCTTCATGGACACCAGTGGTATTCAACCATACCAGGAATACTCATATTTACTGCGTGCTTGCACCGTGGCTGGATGTTCAGACAGTAGCACAGTAAGTAAATCTTTCAGTAAGTTGATGACAACATATCTTCTTCTCCTTCATCATGTTGTAGCAACCTTCCGAAGAGCACTGAAAATATGGAAACATTCATCTTTTGGCTACCTATTTTGATGTTTCCAGAGAAACTCTATCAGCCTCCTTGTGCTGTAGCCCAGCACAAGAAATGGGAGAAATCACCCAGATTTGGCCAAATAGCATGTAAATTCCTGTATATATTTGATTACTAAAAGACTGTGATCCTGTTTAGCTGATAGATTGTTGAATAGGATCACAGACCATTCCAGTAGTTGTAAATATAGACAATTGCATCCTTCCTTTTGATGCAGGCAAATATTAAAACAATAACTACTTTTGTGGTTTTTTTCTGAAAAATCTGGCAAAGTCAGGGATGAACAAGTGTTTGGCTGAGTATTAGAAGCTAATAGATTATTATAGAAGTAAGTTATTACTCCAGAGAAAGCTCAGTCAATCAGAGTTTGATAATTGTTGGATCGAACTCAAGCATGCATAGCTTATGCCTTTACTGGCATTTGTTTAGCAGAGTCTCTGAATAATACCATTCTGGGGAGGCTGAAGAAATTTGCCTTCTCTGTTGTGGAGGAGCATATCAAATTGAATATATTGAATTAATATAAAATATTAAAATGGGGTGAATTGGGAGCAATGCACTCAAGCAAATAGAAGCAGTTTTTGGGAAAGATGCAGGAAACAAGAGTTCATAATACTTCTTGGACAATTGGGTCAACACCTTGTTGTAGGAATCAAATGTTGCTCTGTTCCTACAGGTGAAACTCGAAAAATTAGAATATCGTGCAAAAGTTCAGTAATGCAATTTAAAAGGTGAAACTAATATATGAGATAGACTAAGCCGTGATTTGTCATAATTGTGATGATTATGGCTTACAGCTCATGAAAACCCCAAATCCACAATCTCAGAAAATTAGAATATTACATGCAATCAATAAAACAAGGATTGTACATAGAACAATATCGGACCTCTGAAAAGTATAAGCATGCATACATACTCAGTACTTGGTTTGGGCCCCTTTTGTAACAATTACTGCCTCAATGCGGCGTGGCATGGAAGCTATCAGCCTGTGGCACTGCTGAGGTGTTATGGAAGACCAGGATGCTTCAATAGAGGCCTTCAGCTCTTCTGCATTGTTTGGTCTCATGTCTCTCATCTTTCTCTTGACAATGCCCCATAGATTCTTCATGGGGTTCAGGTCAGGCAAGTTTGCTGGCCAATCAAGCACAGTAATCCCATGGTCATTGAACCAGGTTTTGGTGCTTTTGGCAATGTGGGCAGGTGCCAAGTCCTGCTGGAAAATGAAGTCAGCATCCCCATAAAGCTCGTCTGCGGAAGGAAGCATGAAGTGCTCCAAAATCTCCTGTTAGATGGCTGTGTTGACCCTAGACTTAATGAAGCATAGTGGACCAACACCAGCAGATGACATGGCTCCCCAAATCAACACAGACTGTGGAAACTTCACACTGGACTTCAAGCATCTTGCAGTGTGTGCCTCTCCATTCTTCCTCCAGACCCTGGGTCCTTGGTTTCCAAATGAGATGCAAAAGTTGCTCTCATCAGAAAAGAGGAGTTTGGACCACTGAGCAACAGGCCAGGTCTGTTTTTCTTTATCCCAGGTAAGACACTTCTGACATTGCTTGTTGCTCAGGAGTGTCTTGACAAGAGGAATACGACATTTGAAGCCCATGTCCAGGATCCGTCTGTGTGTGGTGGCTCTTGATGCACTGACTCCAGCCTCAGTCTACTCCTTGTGAAAGTCTCCAAAACTTTTGAATGGCCTTTTCCTGACAATCCTCTCCAGGCTGCGGTCATTCCTGCTGCTTGTGCACCTTTTTCTTCCACACTTTTCCCTTCCACATAACTTTCTATTAATGTGCTTTGATACAGCACTTTGGGAACATCCAGCTTCTTTTGCAATTACCTTTTGAGGCTTTCCCTCCTTACGGAGGGTGTCAGTGATGGTTTTCTGCACAACTGTCAGGTCAGCAGTCTTTCCCATGATTGTGATTCCTACTGAACAAGACCAAGAGACCATTTAAAGGCCCAGGAACCCTTTGCAGGTGTTATGGCTTAATTAGCTGATTAGAGTGGGACACTTTGAGTCTAGAATATTGAACCTTTTCACAATATTCTAATTTTCTGAGATTGTGGATTTGGAGTTTTCGTGGGCTGTAAGCCATAATCATCTCAATTATGACACATCACGGCTCGAACTATCTTGCTTTGCATGTAATGAGTATCTCATATATTAATTTCACCTTTTAAGTTGCATTACTGAAATAAATGAACTTTTGCATGATATTCTAATTTTTTGAGTTTCACCTGTACTATCCAGTCATTTTTACCTCCATTCTTTAAAGTGGCATGCAGTTTATTTAGCTCTGGTTGATGAAATTTTTTAAGTGAATTTCAAAGAATAGGGCATTGCCTGGCTTGGGAACTAAAAAAGAGTTGTCACACTGATATTGTCCTGATTACTTGTATCTCTTCTAATACAAGAGCTGATGAACCAGCTGCTCTCTGTACACCAGGAAACTAGTTCTGGAAGATGAGGAAGAAACAGGAATTATTTCTGTTTGCATCTCTAGACAATATTAAGGGTAGCAGTACTTCAATATTTATGCCAATAGTTACTCAAGATTCATGTCACATGATATCAAACTGTTAACCATATGGAAAGGAATTAGCCAGCATTCTCTGGTAGGACAGTCTGCCTTCCAAAAGTTCCTTTCACCTAGAAAAATACAGTGATTATCACAATATTGTGATAAATTGTCCACTTCAATTCATAGGGAAGGTCAGATTTCAAGGTCAGATTTCACTCTGAGGGGGAAAAATTTACCTAAGAAGAAAAATAACTTGTTCTACAGAGAGCCATGGGAATGATATGCCAGAGCAAACAACAATATTTTAAACTAGAAGTGACATTCTCATTGATCAAGGTATCTTGTGTTCTATTACAATAAATTGTTAATTTTTTGCATTCAGGTAATTGCAGTCACTGTCCAAGGAATTCCAGAGAATGTTCTGCCACCAACAATTATACCTCTAAATGCAACAACCTTGCATTTGAGTTGGGTGGAACCAAAGAAGCCAAATGGTTTAATCAAAAAATACCTCATCCATCAAATTGGAAGGGGAATTATATGTACTGGCCCTGCAGACCAGGTGCAGCACACTGTCACAGGTAAGAATAAAAAGTTCTTCAAGCAAATGGCATTGCTGATTTATTTAACTGGTCTTCTTTGTGTTAACCTGTTTTTTGAAGACTGCAATCCTTACAATGAACAAATCCTTTAAGTGAATGTATCAATTAGATTACAATTATAACTTCAGAACACCAATGGGGGAGGGGGAGGTTAGTAATTTTTGAATGTCCCCACAAATGTTTATTAACGCTTAATTAATAAGACTTTCCTCATCCTAATATGATAATAATAATAATAATGATTAATTTCCAATATTTTTATTCAAGAACTTATCAATCACCTTTAGAGGAGTATACTGTTATTATGGCTCATTGCACAATCAGCCAAATGTTGAGACAGTATTTGGCATTTTTATTCACCTATTGAGTTCTTCCCAAAGATTTAGGATAGACAGATGTTGACATTGGATGGTCTAAAAGCTATCCTGATCATAGGATGTAAACTGCTCCAAATAAAGATGCCTTTTGCAATTGACTGGTGGTGATTTTGTCAATGCTGATGCTGTTCAAGTGGTGCTGAAGAAGCTTTGGGATTATACTCAAGGATCCTATTCCTTCCTGATAAGGTCATAATTTAAAAAAATGAAGTTTCCCTGAAAGCTGGCTTATCTTCAGAGAATCAAGTCCCTGTCACTGGTATTAAGATTGCAATTAATAAATTGTCAGAAGTCAATTAACAAATCAATTTTACTATGGTGCAGTATCACGGTGCAGAATCTACAAAAGACATGGGTGAGAATAGTAATAAGATTGTCCAAGCATTATTTTCCAGAGATCTTTGGAGTCCTTTCTACTGTATTTTGAACTATTGTGTCTTTCATTAGAAAGTCAGTGATGATTTTTCCAAATTCTTTTGTCAAACTTGAAAAACTTAATCCAAAATATAAGGTGTCATAGAACCAACTCCTGGATTGTGCTAATTCATGTCTTCCTTTCCAGCTTTTAAAATACTTGTATAGCTTTTGCAATGACTATTATTAGTTTGCAATATTATTTAGTGTAGAACAAAATGTGTTAGCCAACTGCCAATGAAAACATGCAACAAAGGTTCTGCTGAAAATTTCCCATTTGCATCAGTGCCTGGTTAAAAAAGCTTAAAAACAAAAAAGCAAAAGGCAACATTTTCCCTTTTGCTATAGTTTTGTACAAAACTAGGATTTCCCTTTATCCCCAAATTTTATAATTTAAAGGGGGGAGGGGTTGCAATGCCATAGTAGTTGTCAATGCATATTTATTCTTTTACACACTTTGAGTTAAAGAAACGTCATTCCTTTAATGTAGCAAGGAACCCCACCCCTTTCACTGGTCAAAGCAAATTTGCCTTATCATCTCAAGGAGTGATTGTGCTTCTGCAATGTGATAATTATTGCTCTGTAAATTCATGATGTTCGCTAAATCAACTGTACTTATTTCACATAGCTCAACTGTTTGAACTACACATCGTTCCAGCTCCCGTGGGCCTATGTTTTGATTTTCTCATCTTCTTCTAAAACCTCTGCTGTTCCCAGAGCAACAGTTGAACATTAATGAAGCTGTAGCATTAAGCTTTCTCTGAGACTTTGAATCCAAGGGCCTTACAAATTGCAGATGAGGCACCTTGCACCTTGCCACTGCACCATTGTCTCACTGCTTATTTTTAATTACATCAAAGCTTTGGAAACATGATCCCATAAATGCTTGGTGGGAATTGTGGTGAATGTGTTCATCATGTGAAATCCATAAATTGCTTATAATCCTCTCAAGATGTTTAAAAAAAGCATTAAGTAATTGAAGACAGGAAGTCCTGAGTTAATTATTTAGAGGTGTTATCAGTGCTTTAAGTAAACTGAAGCATTTTCCACTATCGCCCTGACTTGAATGCCATTGGGATCAAGGGGCACCAGCCATCATCTTCTCATGTTCTCTAATGCAAACAGCAAATGGCAGCTTGTCAATAAAAGACCTTTTTATATCATTTATTAGTGAACACTTCCAGTACTCTGTACAGAACAATTTGGATTACAGTTATTGCATTGTTTCACTTGGTGTTACAATTCCTTTACAAATAACATTTCTAACACAATGCTAGGAGGGTGAAAAGAATTTGAAATATTGGATGGAGTGGAATATTAAAAGAAAACTGAGACTGCCCATTTCAGTATCAAAATCAAAGTCAGAAATTCATTTTTCTAAGTCTAATTTTAGATTTTAAGTGTTTCTAGAAATTATGGGATGGATGTAGGGTATAATATTTTTCCTTAAGACTTTAATGTTGGTTGAATAGTTTTTGATATATGGATCGCATACACTGTACACATATTGTGCCAGAGTACCAAAAAACAATTGTGTTTTTTAAATTCTCATAGGGTAGGAAAATTCCAAGTTGTATAAAACCAGCAAAAATTCCTATAGTATCCTATGCCACTGTGGCATATGTTTCTGTGGACCAGGTACTAGTTCTTAATTTCAGCATTGCAGGCTTTTTAACGCATAAAAGATTTGGTAGATAAGTACCTGTATTAAGGATGTTTGCAAAATAGATACAGTTTTAGAGAACAGTGAATGAAAAAAGTCTAACTATTAAAATCTTGATTATCCAGTAAATTGCACCAATGAGCTTATAACAGATTGTAAGATCTAGCATGTTCATCTATTTTCTTTAAAGAGTGAGAAATGCCAAACATGCAGTCTGAAAGGATGAAGGTATAGCTGCTTTCTCAAATGTTTCATTTTTCAGAACATGCCCTCTTGAGTTATCAGCCTGGTTTCTAAACGTTCCTACGCTCACAAAGAAATGTCAAGATGTAGTATTATTAAGGGATGGGAGAAAAAAAGAGAGAGGAAGGCCTCATTTGGCTGCAACATTCAGCCATGGATTGATTTTATAGAATTAGTCATAGCAAGTCATTGACTTATATGCTGTCTCCCACATTTTAAATTAATTGCTTCTTAAGACTCTAGAAAGAGTGCAGAGAAGAACAACAAATATGTTTAGGGGACTGAATGTGAAAAGATATGAAGAACAGTTGCCGGAATTGGGTATGTCTAGTTTATTGAAAAGAAAGACTAAGGATGACATAATAGAAATGTTCCAATATCTAAGGGACTGCCACAAAGAACTGGAGGTCAACCTATTCTACAAAGCACCTGAAGTCAGGACAAGAAGCAATGGATGAAAACTAATCAAGGAGAGAACCAACCTAGAACTAAGGAGAAACTTGTCTCCAGATGTTGTGGGTGCTCCAATGTTAGCGGTTTTGAAGAAGAGATTGGACAACAATTTGTCTGAAATGATATAAGGTTTCCTGCTTGAGCAGGGGATTGGACTAGAAGACCTCTGAGGACCCTTCTGTTATTCTATTATTCTTGCGACATCAAATGGGGCGAAACTATGATTTATCTTCTCCGGAAAAAAGCCAATTGTGAACTATAGAAATTTATCAAGTTGGCTCATTTCAGCAAATCATAATTAACAAAAATATCAATGTAGACGTCAGACAACTGATAAATTACTATTAATCAAAAATGTAAACAAATGTTTCTGATCTTTTCCCCATGGCCATACCAAATGAGAAATAGCATGGAGAGTTAAGAATACCTGAGTTTAAGGGTCAGTCAACTCATATTTCTCATTCTGCAACATTAAGCCGGGGTAGATTTTACAAGAATTAGCCACAGCTAATGTAATATTTGTCTGACTATTACTAAAGAAGACAAAGAAAATAATTTGCAAAGAGAGACTCTGTCCTGACTATTCATTCAGTTTTCCTCATAATTTCTCCAAAGAAATATTATTCATTTATTTTTATTAGTACAAGACTTATACCAGAAATTCTCTAGAAATTCAAGAGGCTTATGGAATGACAAACATAGAAGGTAATTGGGACATTCATTAACATTTGAGGAGGAAAAAAACAGAAGACGAGACAAGATACTCTGTTTCTATCAGAATGCATTAATTCAAGCATCTGCAGAATTAATTCCATAAAAAAGCCAAAGGAGGCAGACTTCATGCTAAAAAAGATCCTAAATTCTAAGTTACTTTTAATAAGCAGAATAATCCCCACTTCAAATGTTATCAGTTCCATGATGAAGTGAGCTTAAGTGCGCCACTATTCCTCTGACTTCCTTTCTCTGACTGGAATAATATTGCTTAATCTCATCTGAATGTTCTTAGGGTTTACTGCATAATGCATATGAGATATTTTGTATTCATCTTCATCATGATCATCACCATCACTTGTATTAAAACTCACTATTGGTTTTATACAATAGGAACCTTCTCAGTCATGGAATATAGTTATGTAAATTAGAATGTTCATCTCTAAAATGATACACAAGTTAGCATGAAATTGGTTGAGGCAGGTGATTTTTGTTCCTTATATACTTATTGTGTAAGGAAAAGCTCTACACAAGAGAAGGTTGCTATACAAATCTGTTAGAGATGGCATGTTGAATTCTGCCATTCAGTTTCCCAAGTTTCCTTGAAAAGAGCCCTTTGTTTGAATGCATAATTGTTTGGCTAATAATTGCATAGGAAAAAGAATGCTTAAAACACAAGCGGATTGAGCCTTTACGTAAGCAGAACTCTTCTTAGATGTTGAATATTTTCAGCAAGGATGCAGAATTAAGACTTTTAAAGCTTCTTCCAGGCTAATGTATCTCTAATACAATTTCTCAAGTTCTCGTGTCCAAAATTTTAATGCGGGAATTATTATAAACTGTATGCATGTACTGAGGCTTGTAAACAGAACACAACAAAATCATGATCCAGACTTGTTATGCCTATGTTTTAATATCATAATAAATAGCAAAAACAGGATGCTTATTATCCCTGATGTATTTAGTGCAATACGCACTTCTTTGCCTGCCTTTTGTTTTTGTTTCTCTCTCTCTCTCTCTATGGTATACTTGCTGTCAATCAATCTTGCTTCATAATAAATGTTTCTTTTTAGTGGTGAATTAAATGATTCCCTTTAGGAACAATTGAAATTACCTAT